ACGAGAAGGCAGACGAAAGCCACAGAAACAAAGCAGCCGAGTTGCAAGCCAAAACGGGACGGGCAAGGCACGGAACACCGGAAATTCCGATAGAAAAGACATGCGAATGTGCAAAAACCTATGGGGTTTTTGTTTCCCTAGGGAAGCACTGCCAAAAACCCGATGCGAAACCCGAATCGCAGACTTTTTTGCCCAAACTGCAACGTGCCAAAACTCGAGTCCTGGCACATTGCAGTTCCGAAATCGACACACGCCTAGAACAACAACAGGTGGGCTTATGCACCCTCTTGCTGGGCGCGTCGTTCCCTCCCATCCGATAGCTGTTAGCTGCTAGCTCGAGGGATTGCCAGACCCCAAGCCGTTGACGACCCTCTGCGGGGCATTCGGACACAGAGGAAGAGGCTCACAACCTGCAATTGAACCTCTGATCGCCGCATAGTCGAGTGCTTTCACGGGTCTTGAAAAGCCCGACCTCCGGTGTCCAAGTCAGGTATTCAAAAATTTCCCAGGGGTTTCCATGTTTGCAGTTTTTTTGACTCCTGCATGGCTGAGTTTCCTACATTTCTAGCTTGTTAGGCTTCTCATATGTTCCAATGATTTTGCATGTTCCCATGGTTTCTAGTGTTTTCCAGTTTTTTCTTCATTGCCCAATTTTTTCTAGTTTCTCATATATGCCACATGTTTCCCATAATTTTCCTAACAGCGCCCAAGATGCGTGAAACATGAAAATAATGTGTGGGAAAATATGGACAATATGAAATCAATATGGAAGAAAAAGACTCCCACAGGGCCCCTCTCCAAAATCCCTCCTCTCCCCCTTCGAGTCTCCTTTTCGCAAGCCTGGGCCTCCTTCCTAGAGCCTTGCTCCTTCTTTCCTTCCGAAAGAGCTCTGCTGAACAGCTTTCCCAATCCCCGAAGCCTCTGTCCGGAATAACACAGGTGCTCTCTGCCCATCAAACCTTAGCCTGGGATTTCATCACTCGGTACTGCCACTGCGCGGCCCCTTCTTTTTAAACGGGTCACATTTTTCATGTGTGTTCACATAATTTAGTTGTCGGGGCTGCGATGGCTCCTGGCCCATCTTTGCGTCACAAGCCTAAAACAAAACGTGCACTAATGCCGGAGAAGAACTGTGACATGGACCAATGAAGCGCTGTAGAGTATCGGTACCATATGTTCTTGGCATCCTCAGTTGACAGCTCTGCCGAAACGAAGCCGTTGTCTACACTTGACCGACCTGGTTGGAATGGCATTTCTCTGCATTCAGAGCCCCTCCAAAGCTCGACACACACTGCAATGTTCAGGCTCTCAGAGAGCTGAGGCGTCTTGGGCTCACACGGCATGTCTGCAGGAAACGGATTTGCAAATCACGTGGTGCACTTGAGTATGCTAAGGTTGCTGTCAGGACTCCAACCCGGTGGTCCGTAGCCATGTGTCCTCCCTGGTGAGATCCTTACCGGAAGGCTGTTTTCCATACTTAGAAAGCCAACCTCTGGGCGCCACGCAAGCAGGAATATCCCAAAGCTTGTGTTGGCATCAGCTGAAACGTCGAGTCGCATACGTGCCTATGGCATACCAAATGCATGCCACCAGATGGTTGATGAGGGCGATGAAAGCTATGAGCTTTGCAATACCGATCAAGATCAGTGAAGCTTCAGACCTCAGCTGGATTCCAAAAGGGCCAGGGAGGTGGGGGTAGAGGGTATGGCGCCGCGGGAAGGTAGGATCTGCGTGCAACGTAACGGAAAAAGGGGAAAAAAGTACCAGGGAACTGCACACGTTCGACGAAGTCATTGATGCGGCTGCGTGCCTGACAAAGCAAAAAACAACTGCCATGGAACCAGCCGGCCGGCACGAATTGAATTCAACCCTGCCTTCATCAGCCGAATAAGCCGGAAAAAGCGAAGCAAACGGATGGTCTTTGCCGTTCGGAAGAAAGCAACACCAGCATCGGCTCCTGAGCCAAAATAAAGGGCACCGGCTTCGAGATGGTTATGGACGCGACCTCCACATGTTCATGTTTCGTTGAAAGACAGGGTTGTTGGCTCCCTTGGGCCTCGAGGTCTCCAGCACTTCGTCACAATAACCGCAGAAAGGAGAACAGAGAGTACACGAGATGAGAGGGTGCAGTAGCAGTCAATGCTCACGCTGATCTGCAGAGAGTGGGCCCAGGGCTGGAGAGAGTTTTGTCAGGTAAACGAGTCAAGGAGATGTCTTCTAAAACCTTGCGAACACCGCCACCATCTGAACTCGAGAGTGCAAATCGCTTCGCAGGCCGTGATTGTCGCGTGTCTGACGATCATGCCGTTCTTGCAGGAGAACCACAATGTCCCAAGGAGAGGCACGGGATCCTTGCCGTCGCAAGCTGTCGCGGCGGCTTGCAATCTCACCGCTTCGGAGGCGCAAGCAGCGGCCACCGGCATGTAGTGCTACACCAGCGAGCTGCTTGTTCGACGGAGCTGAATCATCCAGTGCTAGATCGACTTCCGATTCAGAAGACACGAGGCCGTCCCAAGTTGCCCGGAAACCTGATGTTGTTTTTTGACAGGACGGCTCGCACCGCAGATTAGACAGTGCCATTGTGCTTGAACGACAGAAATAGACACATGATCCGAAAAGGACGGTTGATGCATTCAATCTTGTGCCGAGGATGGCAAAAAGTCGATGCACATACAAACCCTGGGACCCGTTTGCTAGGAGTCCCGGGTGTGCCGCCTATCTCAACTCGACGGCCATCGTTGGATTCGCGGTGCACTGGGTGATTTAAGGCTTCTTACAGTGTCAAGGTCGGAGGTAGGGGCGGGCATACTCTGTACGGCGCGCCAATTCTGGAATGCTCCGGATCGCCGAGTGACTCTGTGGAGGCTAACTGGTCGCCCGGATCTGGAGCATCGTCGGAGTTCATGTCAATTTGCTGTTGACTGCCGTACTAGTATCTCTCGGTTAAGGCTTGCGCTCCGGTGGAGCTTCAAAAGCCTTCGTGCAAGTGGCAGCACGGCGTAGCAGGTCCGGAACTGCGCATGTGCATGCTCCCCAAGGTGTGGCTATTGCCACAACTGGCACATGATGCAGAAGCCCTTCTTGCCACAAGTCCGCACTCTTGCAAAGACGAAGCAAAGGACGCAGTCATTTTAGAAGCTTCTGAGAAACGCATGCAATCCCGGAACTCCTCATGTGTTTCTTGCAGGAAGTACCCACACCGAGCCGTAGAAACAACAACAGAGTGGCGTGTGCAGGTGACCCACTTTCATACGGGTTTCACGCAGGAGAACCGACTGTTCCAGCCTAGCTCTAGCTCTTAACACTAGCTAGGTTCGGGCTTTTGCACGGGTCTGGCCTGAATCCGAATCGGCGGCGAACGCAAGGCTCCAAATGTGTAGTGCCCAATCCAGGCCTTGCCAACGACAGCACGAGCTGCTGTGTCTAGCATTGACAAGGTCTAGAGCCCGCAGGCTATGTGGCGAGATTGCACCACAAAGGATTCCACACCGTTGTGCCGGCCAAGCCACAAACGACAGCAAAGTCGAAAACAAACCATGTTCCTCACTTCTACATCAATTGATGACTGCGGCTTCTGAACCTCATTGATCAAACCATGAGAACTACACAGATTGGAAAATTCTGGCCATGCTTGACGAAGGCTCTTAAGTAGTTGGCGGCAATCTTCGGCACCTTCATTTCGACAGTTCCTTCCTTCAGGGAAGCACGGCACCCGTACAATCGTCCCGGTTTTGCACTGCCATAGGCCCTGAAGACCGGACGGTGCGTCAGCCTAAAAACTGCCTTGCGCCGCCTTGAAAAGATCCCGGACCTACTGCCAACAAGACTAACAAAACATCACCCAGAAGTCGAGATGTTTCGATTCTAGAAGCTGTCCTCCAAAAGTGGGTAGCCGACCAGGAAAGATAAAGGTATGTCCAGAAGCCAATAGCAGCTTGAAACCCAGGCCATGATTTCCATAAACAGACTGCTTTCGGGCTGGAAGGCTTCGATGGGAAGGAAGATCAGGTCGTAGCAGATCAAGAGAACACCTGACAGTCGTATGGCACGCAGCCGCGGGAACATTAATGCGTCCTTCTAAACCATGACCGTTTCCCTCTACTGCTCTCATGGGCGGCATTCCCGCTGATGAAAAGGGGTTCAATCATTTAAATGTCCTCAGTCATTCTCTCCAAGAGGTGAAACCTATGGCGCACCGTGCCCCGCTGTCCCACCCCGCCCCGCCCCTAACCCCGACACGTGTCGGGCTGCGAATCACAAGAAACTCTCAACTCCGAAACCCCTCATAAGAAACTCGCCTTCGCCTCAGATTTCTCGCAGAAGATACCCCGCTTTAATCCCACCCGCCCAGTTGACAAGGTGCTACCATAGGTTACAAGATTTGCTACTTTGTTGCGCTGCTCTTGCAGGCTTTTCTGAGGAGCGCCTGCAGTGCGCATGCAAATACCATCTAACGATGACCGGACCGTCTGTTTGCTTCCGTCTGTTGCCCAGGAGCCGAAGACGTCGTAGGACAACCGCTTGAGCGACGTTGGTGCCACGACCAGGCGCGACACGCATCGACCGGGCCCCTCTTCAAAGAAATCCCTCGGATGAATGCATCTGCATGACAAGCGGCTGAGCAGTGACAAACTCACAGACAGTTCAGCACCAAAATCTCCTCCCAAATGCCCCAGTGGAGCTCTGCTAAGAAACTGAAAACCAAGTGCGAGCATCTACAGTCCAGTGTTCACAGTCCAGTATTCACATGGTATCCGGGACGCTCGAGCGGTCTTGGTGACTCTGCTTGCAGAACATCAGGCCTTGCGTGGAGCGGCGTGGAAGTTTCTGAAAAATCAGCAAAGGGTGTGCGCTGTGGGGGACAGACACTCTCACATTCAAGACACTCGACATGTCGCGCCTGTTCCGTGTATTCCGAGAGCGAGAGGCCAATAAGTTCACCCGTGCTTTGCCCACCCGCCGGCCTCTGAAGCAGAAAAAGGAAAGGCCGACGCACAAGAGGCTCACAAAGCTATCACAAGCTATCAGCAGATGCAAGAAAGAAGCAGCTCTCATTTTAATGTTCTTACCAAAGCAGGACTCGGAAACGTGAGTAGCGTATGAAGCTTGAGTGACGCATTTTAGAAAGTGCCTGCTTTCCAGACGTCGCACAACTCTGGGATGTTTGCATCTGTCCTAAGTTTCGCACATTTCCCTGATGTCGGTGCTTCGCAAGCACGGAATCAAAAGCGAGTCTGATGCTCTGTCGCGCAAGCACGTAGATCGGTCAAAAAGTCTCCCTTACAGTCAAGCCACTTTCCATCCTCATCTTCTCTGACTTTAAGGAGACTGCCTCTTTCAAGGAGACTGCCTCTTTCAAGGAGACTGCCTCTTTCTGCAGTTTTCTGGCTGCGCTGATGAGAATCTGGTGTGCCTCAGACTCAGCAATGCCATGTGCAAGTTGCACTGGGTGCACTCAGACCATCCGCATCTAAAGCGCTTGACTGTCCAGATGACGCATGCTCCATCGCACCGGCATCACTTGTTGCCTTTGATCCCGCGCGGGAACCGACCTGATCGACCAATGAAAGCCAGCAGAACAGGTGTAACCCAGCAGCCAGTTGTGTCGCTTCGGCTGCAGAGATCGCGTTCTGTCCACTTTCTCCTTCTCCGAGTGGCAGCGGGCGGGAACAGCTGGCCCTGCGCACCTGCACTAGACCCCTGGCACCGATCCCAGACCCCTACGATGCCAGCAGACAGCAGCTCAACTGAAGATCACTTAGCCGTTTTCCTGCGCTTGCCTGTGCTTACTGCGAAAGCAACGTTGCCACTTTGCGCCTTGGACTTCGTCGTTCAATGACTCCATGCTTTCTGCCTGCTCGCGGGAGACACTTCGCATGTTCGAGTCTCACGGCAAAAGCTAATGCCTTGGCTTCGGCCACGAATCTGTCTATGGCATCCACAGACGTCTCCTGCACAGCACTCACAGGCAGAATTGCCCTGAAACGACATGCTTACAGGGACCGCGAGAGTGCATGCAATCAGGGAGGAGGCTTTGAACCCAGAGACGATCTGCTGAAGCGACAACTCAACACACCTCACAACACGGGCAGGTGTGGTGGTGGTGGTTGTTGCGGTGGCGGTAGTGGCGGTGGCGTGGCGGTGCGGTGGCGTCGGCGGTGGCGGCTGTGGTGGTGGTGGTGGTGGTGGTGGTGGTGGTGGTGGTGGTGGTGGTGGTGATGGTGGTGGTGGTTGTTGCGGTGGCGGTAGTGGCTGTGGCGGTGGCGGTGGCGTGGCGGTGCGGTGGCGTCGGCGGTGGCGGCTGTGGTGGTGGTGGCGGTGGTGGTGGTGGTGGTGGTAGTGGCGGTGGTGGTGCACAGCAGAAACAAGAGCATCTTGAATCACTTCGAGCTTTACGTTCCAGTTCGACAAGTTGCACCAGAATTGAACTCATTATTTCAAGCCAGGATCGCATGGGCTTAAGCGCAAGGACGTGGAGCACAGGTGGCCAATCACAAGGTTTGGTCAGGAGGCCTATGTCGCAACCCTGATTCGAAGAGACGGAAAATCTGCTGCTCTATTGGCACTGCAGGTCTGCTATGTCGGCACATGGCTTCGAATCAACCCTGGCTATGCTCTCCTCGCCGGCCCATGCTTGCCGACCATCATCTCCGGGTGGTCCTCTCGGCAACAAGCAATGCTACCCCGAGAAGCCAATGGCTGGTATGTTGCCACCAAGATTCCAGTACTTTTGCCCCGGCCCCGCATCTTGGGGGCAGCATGGACCCTGACAGCCGCAAGTTTCAGCAATTGATATGTTGGCGCGGCCCTGACGTGGCGAGCCTTAAGGCATTCTGGCTTCGCGAAGACGATGCGAGAATGCGAAGCTCCTCGATCTCGGCCTGGGGCTTGGAGTTAGGAGGGCCCAGGATCTCAGGCGATTCGAGCCGACGGTTCTTGCCAAGGCACTTGGAGAGCGGCACTTTCTGCCAACACGTCGTCCTTCACTGCTTGAAGCTCTTGCTGGTGTGCCAGGCCCACCTTAGAGCATGTAGAGGGCTCTGGGCGTTAAGTTATGAAGCTTTGAAAACCAAAACCTCGGCACTGCCACTGACTCTGGCGCATGACAGCAGATGGGTGCTCCTACGAATTAAGGACGCCTGCACCAGGAGCTCCATAACCGTGCCGGGCTTGTCACTCCTCAGCCCATATGGCTCAGATCCAGTCAAAGCTTGCAGGTGCCGTGCTGCTGAGCTGCGACTGGAGGCGCTCCATAGTGGATCAGATCTCCGCTGCGCTGCTACAGCTCTGCTGCTAATTACTATTTGTCGGACTTGCCTCGAACTCGTTTATATTCGGTTGCTGATGCTAGGTCAACGAACTAACTTGTTGTAATGCTCTTTGCTTCTGCACTCTGTGGACTATCATGTTGACAATGTCAGGCCACTTATCTAGCTAAATAGAAACGAAGGGCAAGCGGAGTTTGCAGTGTTCTTGACCATCTTGGGGGAACCTATGCTACCCTTGTTGCCTTCGAGCATAAGAGTCAAAGCCAGTTCAAAGCCACAGCCAGCGCAGAAGAAAGAAGTCTTGCTGAGCCACAGAAACCCCGAACAGTGGACGGAAGAAGTGTTACAAGGCCTCAGCTGAGAGCTGGAGCGCACAAGAACAACATGCACTGACAAGATAAAATGAAGAAACATGTGCCAACGACAAGCACACCGCTCGCCACTTCATCTCCGGTCCTGAAAATTTAAACCGATGCCAGAACGACATGACCAGCACCTGTATGCCTGCAGCGGTTCAGATCGACCCAATAACAAAGGCTGCCGAACATTACATTGTGCATCACCTATCAACTACGTCCCAGCGCATAGGAGCTACGCAGGGTCCCACACGATGGGTAGAGGCAGCGCGAGAGAGAGAGAGAGAGAGCCAGCAACAGAGGCTGAGGGAGATAGAGCAAGACACAAGCCGAGACCAACGCAGACCGGCACACATTGCAGACAAACACTGTCAACACTCAAAAGCACACCCACATACAAGCGCATCATAGTGCATTACTACACAAAACAATACAGCACGGTACAGTGCCGGTACAGTACGGCACAGTACAACATCATGCCGCACAAAATGGCACGTTGCATTGCACTGCGCTTCCTTGTCCTGCAATACATTGCCGTAGATGGCGCTAACATTACAGCGCAGTGCGATACAACACATGGCATTACACTATAAGACCGTACATTACACTACAATACACTACAGCACACTACAATACGGCACATGCTTTGATGTTATCTGTCGCGGACACATACGTACATTACATCCATCAACCCATCCATCCAGCCATCCATTTATCATACCATCCATTCATTCATGCATCCAAACATGCACTACACACATGCATTCATGCATTAGACATGCATGCAGCATGCATACATACATACATGCATGCATATATGATCCCGGTTCTCAGTTCGCCGACCCCCCCCCCCCTAACCCCTCCCTAACCCCCCCCCCCGCCGGAACGCCCAGGTTCAAACATGCCGAATCCTTGTGACTGTGCGCACTTCCCGATCTTTGTGACAGTGGACATTTTCCACCCAGGACTCTGCCATGAAGGTATTGAATATGCAACTGTCACCAGGATCGCGTTCCTGTCAGACCCGCTTCCTGTGGCAGTTGACCCAAGAAAGGAACATGATGATGATGATGATGATGGTGATGATGATGATGAGGATGACGATGACGATGAGAATGACGATGAGGATGCAGGATGACGATGCTGATGATGATGATGATGATGACGATTTCGAAACACTCAGGATACTCAGGGCGACCCAAACCGCAAACCACACCACACCACGACTGAGAGCAGACCCAAACCCCGACACACCACACCACAGGGGGGGCAGACCCAAATCCCGAATCACACCGCGCCACAGGGAGGGAAGGGGTACCAACCCATGGGGGGGGAAGGGGGGGGCCCAGCCATACCGGGATCATATGTACATCCAGATTCAGACCACGTCTTCAAGACGGTGGTTGGTGCTCGAAGATCCACGTGTCCTGCGCCACAATGCGCCACATAGCCACCTATGCCCCAAGGCGAGGCGTCTGTGACTGTGTTATCTGGCGGCCTCTCCCAAAGTATCGGTGAACCCTGTATTCACGCGCGAGTTTCTGGATGTTTCTGGCCTTCTTGCTGGAACAGTCTCAGTAGCCAAAGCCGGGTGTGGCTCCACTGCTTCGCCCAAACCATGTTAACCGGAACAGCTGAGCTGACATATTTGCTGTGAAGAGCTCCCTCAAGCTCTGACAAGAAGGGGTGTAACCCTTCAATCATGCCAGCAACGTCGTTGAGCTTACCCGTGTAAGAAGGCAAACCCTAAACCCTAAAACTTATACTCGGCATAAGCTGCTGTGACGGCGGCAGAATCCATGAGCTCCGCTTCGTTATCATCGCCCTGATTAGTGACTAATGCCATCTTCAGTCTCTGCTTACCTGAGGTTGACGCTGTCACCGCGGGAAGCAGCAGCTTGCTGAGTAATTAATGGTGAGCGGCACCGGCTAGAACCCGGCATGTCCTACCCAGTAATCCACCATGACTGCGTTGCACGAAGGTAGGTGCTGCTGCAGTAGTGGCTTCGGCCCCAACGCAAGTTTGCAAGACTGCGTCGTAATCGTCGGCAGACATGTACCCTAGAACCGTAGAGTGATCGGTGCTGGAAGTGCCCAACAGACGAAACAGCGAGTCTCTGGAGGGGGACGTCCTTGGATGCCGACCCAGTCGGCAACAGCTCCTACAATAGTAAAAGTCCTCTGCTCATCCTCGGTGGGATCAATCGACATGCAATCGAAGCAAACCTCCCAAGAGGAGTTGAAGAGTTCGCCTGAAGTGGGCACCGCCGATGGACCACGCAACCACCAACTGCAATGGTATACAGCAGAAGGCCGAACTAGGGCATCTGCCAGCTGTCAGTTCCAACACACGTTGACTTGGCAGTTGGCACAAGACTGCCAAAGGGACCAGGTTTCGTGTGAAGGTGTAGCGTCGTGAGCCAGCGAATCGAAGGCGGCTCAGGTCGCTCAAGAGCATGCAAGTGATCTCTTGGTGCGTTGCTTCTTGGGCTCGCATCCCTGCCCTCGGTCCTAGCAACCGGCGAGTTGGGCCCTCACGTTCTGAGGGTCCATGCCTAAGACCCTGGCAGTTGTCTGGATACTAGTCCACCAGCCCGACGAGTTGCCTGCTGAACCCCGGAACACTATGGCCTCGGGCGAAGGTTCCTGCCACTCAATGAAGTAAAGCAGCTGTGTCCCTTTAGACCATACTTTAGCTCTAGCTTTCCATCAATATCCACATCTGCCGAGGGAGGTACTGAAGTCCGAAATCCCTCAGTCCCAAGATGGCATGTTCCTTTTCCAAGATGGCCTGGTTCCTGTTCGTCTCTTCCATGCTCCTGTTGCGGGAGACCCACTTACCAAGACCGCCTGCTGGACACGCCTCCTCGCATGCAAGGATTCATCCACATACAAGAGCTCGATTCACGCCATATTGGATCGAACGCAAAGGGGAAATAGTTTTGCGCAAGAGCAGGGTAGCCGGGTAGCCCCTGCTTCATGGAACAGGGTCCTCACCTCATTCTGGATGTCTTCCCTCTTTGCGTCTGAAAACCCTCCCAGTACGAGCTGCCAGTCGTCAACAGGTCACGCAGCTGCTGTGCTAGGTGCCTGGCATGTTCCCGCTCTCCCATCTCCTCGTCGAGGGGTGACGGCAGGGCTGCCCGACCTGCCGACATGCTGCGCACGTCCTTGATTTCGGCGACCATTTCATTCATTTTGCGTGTCATGCGTTCCTGAAAGCGCCTGCAAGCCTCATGTTGGCCCTCAACCTTTTGTGCCTGCACGCAATCAGTCCAAGTCAGGAGACATTGGACCTAGCCTATCGCTGCCAGACTCAGCGGGCAGCAAAACTGGGAGAAGAAGTCAATGTGTTTTGAGCAAACAAGGCAGTGAGCAATGAAAGAGATTCACTGCGCACTGCATATTTCAGACTCTTCCCCTACATTCTCTGGCAGCCGGACTGCAAGGATAACCCAGAGGTCCACCACACAACTATGCAAAAGCACAATTGGAGGCGACAGGGTGAATCCAAACAGCCGGCAGAAAAACGACTTGATTTAACTGCCAACCAGGAAGTCATTCATCAGGGCATCATCCATGGGAACTATCAGAGAGGCAAAATCTGCTCAATACTGAGTTGCAAATCCCACAAGTCATGGAACTCAAGATCCAAGCCTCAGGCTTGAGGCGATATGGTAATATAGAATAGAACATGATCGATGCAAAGATTACGTAAAAAATCACAGAGCCACAAGCACGGTACCAAGGCGCGGTTTTGGTTTTAGAACCACCAAAGAAACCTACAATCCTAGATGATGCAGCGCAGTCCTACGGAAGAGCAGGACAGAAGGTTCCGCAATGCAGGGCTAGACACAGAACGTGGACATGGACACACCACAACCTCGCAAGCAGGATGGTGGTCCATGACAGCACTTACTTTTCCTTCTCATTCATTTTCGGTTGTGTTTTCGTGACTTCCGTGCTTTACGGAGTCGACCAGCTGCTGCAACCCATTCCAGCACTCCTGATAAATGTCCAGAAGGCTGCCCACCGTCCGTCTCGTCTGAGGGGAGGCCATAAGGACTGCTTGCGGAAGAATTTGCCGGCAAGCATCACAATCACGGAACACATGGTCCACATCCTCAGGAGTGACATGCCCACAAAATGAGCAAGTTTGGGCCGGAGATACGCCGTCATTGTCGTCATCAGTGAAAAACCCCTGCAGCTTTAACTGTACCCAAGCTCGAGCATCAGAGATAGAGGTGCCATGACCAACTATTCCCGCCAGAGTCCAGGAATGAAGATCCTAACGTTGCCAATGTTGTTGCTGCTTAGTCTGGTCCCACCAAGAAACTGCTTCATGTGCGAAATGCAGGAAGCACACATGTTTGGGCAAATTGACGAAGATGGTAAGCTCGAGTCCGCCTGCGAGCGAACGGAAAGACGATCCTCCACTCCAAGTTCAGACATCATGACAATACGGGGTATTGACGCTCGTGTGCCAAGCATGCCACGCATCCCACGGGCTTGCATCCCGTTAAGAAGTTTCTCAAAGAAACGAACATTTACTACCAGTTCTACACCGAACATGACAGCAGGAATCATTCGTACTCGCCCTCGCACAGCACGGAGCAAGGCCAGCATAGGCAGTTTCATGCTAACCATCTGGCCCAGGAGCCCAGGAAATTTGTATGAGCCTTTTGCCAATATAGCACTCAAATGCGCACTGCCATCGAAAAGCACATCAACACTGCAACCCAACTGAACTGCAGATTGATAATGCTGAACATGCCCGTCCTGAAAAGGAATAGGGCCGTCGATGCCCAAAATTATGAGCAATCACTTTGCACTTGTCAGATTTGTATCGGTATTGCTCCTTAGAGCTTGCCGTCCAATACCTGAAGGGCAGCAACAGCATGACTATGACAAGAGAACGGCATCCTCGTATCATCAACGAAATACCTTACGCAGCGTCCAGCAAAGTCAGGCGCACGGTATCAGAGTAAGCTTGTTGCATCGCGGAGGACCAAGATTTTCATCCCGCCTGGACTTCACCGAGCAATTCTAAGGCTTCATGTTTGTCATATTTTCCGTCTTCAGAGCCGTCTTTGTTTGCATGGAAAACAGCAACAGCTTCGAGCGGAGGGTCCGGCCCTAGGCCTACCAGCGCCTCATTTGCGGCAGACTCGAGAGCAGATTGTCCAATGCAAAATGCCAGGGGGCTGAGTTTGCGTCCTTGAACAACACCAACTTTTGTAGCGAACGGCGAGGACCGATTGCAGCCGCTCACTATACTCATCGATGTGTTCTTGTGGAGCTCATCCATAACGCACCAAAGTAACTTGGCAAGTGGCAGGAGCCTGGATGGGAGCCACTGCGAGTCAAGAGCCTCTTGCCTGTCAACCAACACCATACCCGACGGCAGGCCCAAGGCAGATCGCGTTGGATGACGCAAGGATCCGAAGCCACAACCACCAAGCATTCAGATCGCCCTTCTTGAAAGGATCCAGTATGCATCCAAAGTTTGGGTTGTAATCGGGACCAAATTTCTTCTTCAGCCCAGGATCCTGAGAGAGTTCAACACCTGAGGGTTACGACTGCCTTGATGTACGGAAGGGTGGTGAAGCACGTTCCAAAACAGCTGGCCCTTTCGACGGTGTCAGCCGCAGCAGGACTGAACAACTCAAAGAGTACGCCTTTTCTTCTTCCACTTCGAACGGGTAGGGTGGTGAAGCACGCTCCAGACCAGCGACGAAGCTTGAACCAGGGGCTGCCCCAGTGACCACATGACAACTTCCTTCTCCTACTGGCGAGGCCATGAACATGTTCCAGTCCAGCTGCTGGCCATGATGACTTCTCTTGCGCGGCAGCCACAGTGACGACTGGACGACTTCCGTTTTGCCAAGGGAGTTGGCAAAGCATGCAGAGTGGCAGAGCCGACCATACATACATGTGTATATTTATATATATATATATATATGTGTGTGTGTGTGTATTTTTTTTACATATATGTGTGTGTCTGTGCTTTTATAGAAAAATATGCATATCTATACCTCTGTGTGTATATGTGAATACATGTATATGTATGCATGCATGCATGCATGCATGCATGCATGCATGCATGCATGCATGCATGCATGTATGTATGTATGTATGTATGTATGTGTGTGTATGATGTATACATGTATACATGTTTCCACATATACGTACAAACACATATGTACATCCACATGCACCATTTTACAGATATACATGTGTGTATACCTATACACATGTATATATCCAAAAACATACAATACACATACAAAAACTCCTCTGTGCCCGCACCGTCATCCTGCCTTTTTCGCGGCATACGGATCTTTACGCTTTACGGAAACCTGCATGACATCGCAAACTCCACGGGAAGTAGGATTCCCTTGTTCCGAGTTCTTGCGCATGCCTTGGGGTCCCGGCTGCTAAAGGTTGAGCGGCCCTTGCAGGTGTGCTACATCCTTCACACGAGCCCACGTCACTTGATGGACAGTTGCCGTCCACGTTGGAACGTTACTTGGACTCCTTCTCACTTGCCCGAATCCTGGAGGTCACGTCGCTTGATGACGGACAAAGCAGAAGGAAGCTGTCTCTGGCACGACATCCAGCACAAAGCCGCAGTCCTGCTTGCGGACTTCCTCGAAGTACGGGTCTTGCATCGCCTGTCAGAACCAGTGCTGCACGGGCTATGCGGTACAAGCTGTGCGTCCAACTGTCTGGTCACGGGATATCCTTCGTGGCATTCGTACGATGCAGCCTCGAAGTTCCGTGCCGAGCTCACGCCCAAGGTCGCCGAAGCAAGGTAAGCTCGCTGGAAATCTTTGCGGAATATCGCTTCTTTTTCATGGCGCTTCACCACCCGCTCATCCGCTGAACTATTCGGGCTGACACAGTGCTCAGCTTCATTTCATGAACCTGCTCCATTGCAAGCAGGAGAAATCGTAGCAAGCTGCCCGCAGGTAAACCTGTGGAAGGATCGCTGGATCCCGCCGGCTCCCTTGCTGGCGATCTTTTCATAGCAGCTGCACACGCACATTCTGAATCCTCTGCCCCCAAAATCCGCCGGATTAAAACAGGCCAATCTACCCGCCCCGATTCTCAGCAATGCCTAAAGACGCTTTGCAGTCGCGCCTCTTTTGGGAGGACTCTGGCGGCCGGGTCATAGCGCAGCATCTTGTCAATGAGTTCCAGTGCCTTCTTTGTCACATATAAGCCCCTGGATTTTCGTTTACACAGCCTGCCCGCCGCCTCTGGAGAGCAACGCTCTGCATTGTCCTGCGCAGACTCACCTTTTGCTTCAGCTGTACCTTTCCGTACTCGCGTCCTTGTTTTTGAAGGCGGACCACTGCTTTCGTGGCAGCGTCCTGCCATTTGCACGACCGTGAATGCAGCAAACTTTTGGAAGAGTTCCTGCTGAAAGGGTACTGGCGCTTGCTGCACCAAGCCTACATGTAGGAGTGCTCCTTACAGGCTTATCACTCTTGCAAGCTTGAGCCAAGGAGACCCCAAGCGTTGCTCCACTTCCAACTCGAGCTCCAAGTCGTATGCATCGAGATAGTCGTTGAGGAGGTCCGTTCCTAACACCTGTAGGAGGTCGGACAAACAACACGATCAGAGATGGCATACACCGTTGGCCGAAACGAATGTTCCGGGCCTTCGCAATCTTGTATAGCTGGTCGACATTGTCGGCCCCAGCAAAGAAAGGCTCTTTTCGAAAGATCATTCCTGCGAGCATGCAGCCTCGGCGGGGAGAAGGGTAGCGAATCTCCGAACAAGGCCGGCAGGCAACTCTTGCGTCTGTGCCAAGGACGCCGCTCCAACACTCTAGTTAGTAGGCTTTCAATCTCTGTGTACGTGTGCTGGCACTGAGCAGGATCAGGCGCTGCAGTCATAGCTAAGCTCGTGACGGTCAGAAGCTACCACTGCATCACCAATACCGTAGCCACCCGCCATGCGCGACTGTGTATCCGAATGGCGAAGTGGAGAACACCAAACGGGATCGGAAAAGTTGTAAATGTAGATTTGGATGTGGCTTTCGTTTCAAAAAGCTGATAATTACCGCGAGAAGGCGACGAGTCCAATAGTCCCGACTTGGAATAAGTCGTTTTGCGATCTGACATTTATTAGGACTTAGGATCGATCGGTTCTGTTTGGCTTTTGGCCTCCCGCCCAGCTCGGCCCGCAATTTAAAGCCTTTTTCCCCTCTCTCATTCCAGAGAACTAGTATCAAGAATGACTTCGTTTAAGGCTTTGGGGTAGAGGGTTGAGCTTTGTGAGCCAAGTCAAACTCCTTTCGGAAGGTGCTGATGTGTCTTTTCTGAGGTCTACAGCGCTTCAAATCAAAAAACAAGTAACCCTTCCCTCAACCCTAAGAAGTTTCTTTTGCCTTGGAGATTTTGCTCTCCAGGACAAGTGATATCAGGTTCCTTTATCAATGCAGGAGGCCTGCACTCTCACCCTCGCGTCACAATTCCCATGTCCAAGCCTTTCATGGTAACATCCTGTGCTGAGTAGCCGAAGCTCCAGATGTCCAAAGAGTAGTCGTAGAACGTATCCTTACGAACACGTGTGCTCCTTTGCCCTGCCCCCCAGTCGCCCCAATGCCGTAAACTCTGTCAAGATTCGTCCACAAGCAGCTCCGGTCCCTTGTAGTGCCGCGAGGCCACCCTCAAGCTTCCATAGAACCTAGGCCTCGCCTTTGAACTAAACTCCGTTCGAGTGGATCTTGGGTTTCCCTCATGTCGTCATGGCAGAACCAGGGCAACCCGGGCCTCACGTTGTACTCTGTCAGCGGGTGGTAGAACTCCGCCAAGCCCCAGTCCTTTGGATGCCACAGCCATGCATCAATCAATGCACACACTAGACGGACCTACACTCTAGACCGACCGAGCGCGATGACCTAGTGCTGTGTCCAACTGCCTCGACCGCGTCTTTCGTAGCCAACTCTCAAACTCTTACGACTCGCCATAACCCAGCCAAGTGGCTATCAGACGGACCTGGACAGGAAGTACAGGACGGGTCTCATGTCTGTTGTGTTCGAGTCTTGTTTCTGGCTCGGTGGTGAACGCTACCTTCAAGCTCTCCTAAGCCTACGATCGGGTGATCATGACCGTTAAATTCCTCGGGCCTGCTCTCGCAACTGCAGGCATGGCAATAAGTGTCCTAGTGGATGGACACGGGGCACTTAAGAACATAAGCAAGCCGACAATCTTCGCCACGAAGAGGTCGTTACAGCTTCATGCAGGGAAGGCCCCGCAAGACCAGGGGATGGATACCCCGAAAGCCAAAAAAACTTCGCCAAGAAGAAGTCGTTACAGCAGCACGCGAAGAAGGCCCCGCAGACCTGGGGAACGGGTACCCTGAAAGCTAACAAGCTTCGCCACGAGGAAGTCGACTGCGAGTTCACAAGCACCTGCACTGTCTCTCTGCGGTGAGCCCTTCCCTGCTGGGTGCTCGTCGGACTGCAAACGGCTGGGGCAGCCAGATAGGAAGGACCCTATCGCATCAGCCCATACGGCCGCAAACAATAGAGCCGCCCCGGGGGTCCCAGGCAGAGTCTTTGCAAGAGAAGGCAAACAAACCAGCACAGACCCATGAAACATCGACCATAGCATTGACATCAGTACACTAATCACAAAGTAAACACATAAACAGAATGCAACATAACCTAACACAAGCATGCATAACATGCAAGAGTGTCTGTTCGTAATCACTTCCCCTTTTATTAAACACCCCCCTAAGTATGAAAACACATTGGGGCGAATTCTGCCGAAACCATCCCTGCCCTTTATAACCTATTCTGAGTTTTTCCCACCCGCCCATTCTGAATTAGGGGGTGGGTGTCGAGGCTCCAAATACCTTTAGAGCACAATCAAAGCAACAGCAAGAGCAAGAGCAGCAGCAAGAGCAAAGCAAAAGCAAGAGCAGGAGCAAAAGCGGGAGCAACAGCAAGAGCCGGAGCATGCGCACGAGACGCAGCAGAAGCAGGAGCAAAAGCCAGCACGGGAGCAAGAGACAGAGCAAAAGCAAGAGCACAACCCCTCAAAAGTCGCAGAAGAGTAGAGATAAAAATACCCCATAATAATAAAAACAGTTTCCGAGTTTTTATCAGTAACGAAATCCGACTGCTTTCACAGAGACTAACTGAATGACGTGTCTTCTTACATACATGCAGACATGCCTTCACCTGCAACACCCGGGCCCGATCCCACACCAGGACCCGGACCCGACACCAAGCGCTCGGCCACAAACCGGACCCCTTGCCGCAAGAGAACCGATATCACCTCGCGGGGGGGACCTGAGGAGAGCCTTCACACGATCCCCGTGAGATCCGAATCGACCTGCCGCTCCGTAGAATCCGAAGCTTCCACTAGCCCGATCAGCGAAACCAACATTCTGCGTATTACAAGCAATGCTGCTACTGTCGGCAAAGGCCCATGGAACACATCTGGCGTCTGCTTAAGATGTTCAGCAGATACACAATTTGCAACTTGCTGGCCTCGCGCTTGTCATGATCAATCATGACATTGTGCGGCTTGACCTTGCTACGATGAGATGTTGGTTGGGGTTTGCTGCTAGGACAAGCGACATTGTCAATATGTCGCTATGGGTGAGGCGAATCCTGCTACGTTTAATCGTAGCTTCTGATGCTGCTGCATCGCGCTCCTGGTTCACATTCTGGGCCACCTGCCTCGCATAATAATATTGGGCCATGATAATGAGAGGTTTGGGGCTGAGTGAACCACCCTCGATTCGACAACCGAACGAGGAACCGTTGAAACAGTCAAGACCAACTTGGCCGAGATGCGTCTCGATGCATCAAGCCCTGTGAATGACTGTAGTCCAACGCCTGACAAAGGTGCAGCGCGTGCCAAATTTCACCTCTACCCCTCTTGTTGCCTCCGTCGGTGACATATCCGTCTGAGCTCCGCTTGAAACGAGGCATGACGTACAATTGCCGCCCCCGGCCTTGAGGACCTGGTACAAGTAGAACTTGATGTCGTGCGGCGTCAGTTTGGGATAAAGGCTCCTTGCTCGACTCGCATATGCATGGCTTCAAAAGATGAGGTGTCTAGAGTCTTGATATTATTTTAGGTCTTTGCCTGCCTTTGCCTTGCACCTTGTGGCGAAGAGTCGAAAGCACATCCATGAATCTAAATCCCGCCATGCTTGTCGAGCACCTGACTCTACCCAACTGCTTTACCTTCGATCTGCATTTAGTTCACGCTCTTGTGGCACCAGCATGCAACATTGCAGAAACCCTGAACAGAGGCATACCTTGCGAAACCGTGGTCCGCGGTCTAAAATAGACAAGGTCATGTGTGCGTGTGCATCGATGTGGGCATACCCCGAACCTGAAAATTGTTGGCATGTGTCTTCCAGTCCGTGTTGTTAATGTGCTCGAAAATGAGGCAGGGTGTTTTTGTCAGCGGGTCGCGGACGACGTCCAGCAATGCCACAATGTTGGGTCCCTTGCTGACCTGCCAAGCGGCCATTCGCTGACTTGGGGACTTGGAGCCCTTCACCTCTTGTTTCATGTCACTACATCCTGGGTGCGGCTATTAGAGTCTAGGACTTTGTAGCAGAATTTGATCCTCACAAGCGCGGCGAAGATTCGTTTTGAAGAATCTTGATTTCACGCCTTGGCTATCACGGACACATACGCGTCATGGACCGAATCAACATGATGGGAGCCAAGGCTGAAGTTGCATCACTGGGAGCCGCGTTAACGAATGTTGGTCACAAGCAAAAAGAAGCAGAACGTCGAGTGTCTTGATCTTCTTCTTCTTCACGGGCTTCAGAATCTTGATCACCTGATTGCGCTCAGCCTTCTGGCATGTGGCTACGCCGCAGCGGTGGCCAAGCTCAAAAAACTGAGCACAGCTACACATTTCTTGTTCGTGGGCACATGGTAGCCCGTGAAAACTTCACCTCGTCGCTCCAGAATTCGCCCCGGACGACAATGCTGTCAGCTGCCATGTTGAAAGCTGAGGCTGGTGCTGTACTTTCCCCGTCCGATCTTCTGCGTAACCTCGTAGTGCTCCAAATTTCCCCATTTGACCTCCGGCCCCAAAGCTGCAATTCAGCGACGCCTACGACAGAATGAAAGCAGCCACGAAAGCCGACGAAGAAAATCCTGGATTGACGGTTCTCGTTCTTGTCGCTGTTTCAGAGCGCTAGAAGCACATGACTACGCGAGTACGACACCACAATGAACGAGTCCAAGCAACTATCATCTTCTCGTAGTCCCAATACTCCTTTGGCTTCTTGGAAAGGACATCCTTGGAAATCGGAGGGTAGACAGCCGTGCTGCGCCCGCACAGGCTGTTGCCAAGGAGCTTTGTACAGCCGAGGGAGCCGTTCCCTGGAAGCCACAGAAGAAGATTGCAGAACGGTCACCTACGCACTCAAACCATGCCTCTTAAGGGCACGCGCAGTCATCGCGTGCTTGACCGGAGACGGCTGCAATGAGCATCCGCTCCTTTGATCGCCTTCCCCTGATGTGCTGTCTTAGCTTCACAAATCCCAGAAATGCTGCCGGCTGCGAAGGGCCCACATGCTCCTTGCGAGTGCCAAAGCCCTTTTCGCGATTGGCACTGATCTGCATCTCAGCTCGGGTCTTTGAAGGCCCTTCTGCGATGCACTGCCGTTCCCCTAACGGTGCGCGGTTTGGAGGAAGCCAAACCGCTGCAAAGCGTAATTGCAGTCGTCCGAAGACGTCCAAGTGGAGTGGAGTGATGCATGAAGACAACAGCAGATGTAGCCGGAAGGCCTCTCAACAGGCCCGCGCCAAGGAGAAGGCATGCGCATCACCCCATTTGCGTAAGCACCGGGACACTGCTTCCGGAGCTCCCTGCCCTTCAGCGCTTGCAGAGCGGACTCCCACCGCACGGGTAGCTCACCCGAGTCCAGCAGGCTGCGCTATGACTCTGGAAAACAGCACAAGGGGCGACTTCGAATCTGTGCAAAGCGTGATGTCTCGGCCGGTTGGCCCTCAGTGCTTGAGTGAGAGCTATCTGTCAGTCCGAGTCGCTGCTGCTGCTATCGCTATCACTGTCACTGTCACTGCCCATCACATCGCTGTCACTGGCGCTAGCCTCACACCATGCGTCACATGCAACCCAAAACCAGTCGTCGACATGCGCAGCTCGTGCGAAGTGTGCTTGAAAAGTCACCTGCTTCTTTGCGCGGCCGCGAGCCTGAGGACTGCAGTGACAGTGCCCCCCAAGACGACTTCAAAGCAGCACGAGTTCGTCGCTTTGCCTGGCCTTGGCTTTTGCCTTCCCCTTTGCTTTGGCCTTCGCCTTGGCCTTAGGCTTTGTCTGCTTCGCCTTCTTGGGCTTCTTGGCTGTTTTAGCCTTTGTCTCCTTTTTGGCCTTGGGCTTCTTGAAGATGGCATTTCTTGCCCGCTCAAACCTTAGCCATGCCCGAGAGCGCACTTCAAAGGCAACCACCAAGCCAAGGCAGCTGAGTTGCTTTTTGTATGCATCGGACTGCTTGTACTCCTTCATTTTCTCTTCGTATTCTGCCTGACATCCGGTAGCTTTGTTGGGCCAGTGACATGCTCCGAAGCGCTGGCAGGAGAAGTTAACTGCAAAGGGAACGGAATCATCGACTGCAAGTGTGGCGTTACCCACTCGGCATGCCTTGAGCTCGGCCGAGCGCTGTTCGTAAGGCTTTCGGTCTTCTTCGGAATATGTTCCTTCGCTGCGCCATGGCACCCATGAACCCCGACAGCTGCCATGTACCAGCTGCTACCACGCTGCCCCACATCTGGGACATCTCTTTGGCGATATCCCCGAGGGACTTGCCGGCAGATTGCAACGTGGGCCTCTTTTCCTGCAGCAACTGCTAGCATCTAAGTCCGACCGTTTGCGGAGATTGGACTGGACGGAGAAGAGCGGACAATCAGCCTGGACGAACACCTGATAAGCACCTTTGTTGGGACAGTTGTGTCAATGGGTGCCATGGCTGGCCACATGCATCGCTAGAACAGCTCCACGGGAGGACCAGCAAAGGTTGCAACATTCGTGGAATGCGAAAGGGACTGCATTCAGCCAAGCCGCCAGGAGCACTTGGAGGAGGCTTGGGGGCATCGTCTTTGCCCAAATACTTTTCTCGAGCACTGTCCACACCTTGACATCTTTCGACAGCTCTACTCCAGTGCAAGTCTCGGAATGTCAGTTACATAAACCACCTTCTGTTCATGCTGACACCCGGTTGCAGATTGGTGACGCGCTTTCTTTGCTGCAGCTGCCTTGAGTCTGAGATACTTTTTGCCTTCGAGGCAAGACATGTGGAAGTATCTGCTGAACATAGTCTTCTTTGGACTACTTCTGGCGACACGAACCCCTTACAGCACTTCACCGATTCGCCTTCGCCGGTTTTTCGAAAGTCTAGCATGTCCTCCAGGCGCAGCCAAAGCTGGTCTACGGTAACAAATGCTCGACCAAGACTATTCATCTCTGTTACGCACTCAGGCTCAGCGGAAGGGAAGACATCTGCGGGCTCTGCAAGCTCTGCCAACTGCCCGGCATGCCCGGTCCTTGTCGTACCTGAGTTTGGGGAAATCAAGCACGAGCACAAGATTACGGCGCGGCTGTTCAAGTCTGCATCGCGGCTGAGCGTCTGCTCGGACAGCGATCTGGCCTCGTCCACGTACTCCTTCTGGCCCTGCACAAGCAGAGCATCAGCACCAGTGGGATTCAGTGGGCTTAGGGTTGTCGCTAAGTGGTGAAGTTGTCGCGGCGGGAACGGGGAGCCCACCTCGGCACCCAGTGCAGACCAGGCTTCCGCTTGGGCCTTCAAACCCCCGCCGCCTGCACCAAAATGTCTCTTCAAAAGGAGGTTTGTCACGTAGCTTTTAGGAGCAAAGCCTTTGTTCTTGCTCATGAAGAGCGCCATCGCGGTCTTGGGCTTTTTCGGCATGTTCTCTGGAGCTTGAGGGCCCCTCTCTTTCTTTTTCGCTCCTTTGCCTTTGCCCTTGCCTCTGCCGTTGCCTCAGGCGTCACAGCATCAGCTCCCGGGCGACAGGTCCGCCACGCAACTCGAGGCACAGAAAACATCGTGTTCAAAATATGTCCCTATCGAAAGGTTGGGCTTGGGCTTGTCCAGCGGAACGCAGACAGCAGAGCAGGCAGAGCTGGACATGCGCGTGCCATCACATGCACTACACCGAGCACTAGGTATGTAATCCCCAATTCTGTCGCGCAGCCTGAATACGTGGAACGAATGCAGCCAAAGATCTTGACTTGCCAGAACGCTTTCCCTTGCCCTTGCCCTTGCCTGCCACAGCAATAACAGATCAGTCGAGCAAAAAACATCTCAGCACAATGATAAGCTTATCGCGATGCTCTCTGTCCATGCACTTCCGGAAGCTAGGGCACTGCAGAGTTGATGCATTCTACCATTGAAATGAAGTCAACGTGTCAGGACAGAATGCGGCGTAGAGAAGCGAATCCTCTTCGTTGACACTGCGATCTTGAGGATTGCCTCCGCCGGACTTCTTCTTGGAGAGCTTCCGGACTTGCGATGCATACTTCTTAAAGTTCTCGGTCTCTCTGAACTCTTTCAGCGAGTCCTGTCAGACGTGCAGACAGACGCTTGTTACAGATTGACTCTGCATTTGAAATCCCCTCTTCCAATCGCGGCGTCCTCGTATGCACTCATGAGGCTGTCAGCCTTATCCTGATAAACCTTCCTTTCCTCCTCCTTGCAAGATTTCCTTGGATACGTGCCATGCTGTGCTCTTGACGCCTTGTTGCGAGAGCTCCAAGCCGAGCCACCATGCCTCGCGAACTTCGTTCTTCAGATCTGGACCCTTTAGATCGGGTTTGGCCTGCGTCAGAGCCAGAAGTCGGAAACCTCCCGAATAATTCCACTCTCGATGCTCGGATAAACCTTCTTCAGGTCTTTCAGCTTCTCCTGGAGAAAGAGCTGAATGGCACCCTTGGGCTTCTTCGGCATGCCCTCCAGGTACTTGTCTTTCGCTTGAGCAATCCTGAGTGACGCGGTAACTCTAGGTGATATCCTTTCCCAAGATCCAACAGCAAGCAAGCACTGACGAGGCTCGCATTGCTTTTCCGGACCTGCGCAAGCCTTTTGAAGTACTCCTTGCCCTCGTCACTGCCCTCAAAAGCCTGACAACACCGATGGCTCATTGTCTCGACCCAGGAATCAAAGTAACACCAGCATTCGACAGCATCCGATTCATCCCTCAGCCCTACCATGTTTTGCTCTGGCTCTGCAACGCCCGGACCATGAATTCAAACTTTCTCCGTGTCCCCATGTGTCTGTGTGTCTGCCGCCAACTCGCAAATGATTTCTCTTGAGCCGCTCCCGGATTTGCATTCTGCATTTTGCCTCTAAGGCAACTGGACGGACGCCTCTGCCAAGGTGGACATGCAGCAGACGGTGCCACGGGACCCCATCCCCTCGACGAACGAGGTCAACTGAAGAATGTTGCTTGCAGAAGTTGTGTAGACATGAAGACAAAAATATGTCTCGCAAGCCAACTTTGATCCACGAGCTTCTAGCAACGGATCGTCCTCGCTGGATCTTGTTCTTAGTCGATCAGACCAAAAATGCAAGAGCCAACAGAACGTTGAGCAGCAAAGCCCAGATCATAAAGAGTCATATGCGAAGGTACATTGATTGTATCATGCACTGTCCTGTCGCCTTTCAGGACTCCACTTAGACCAACAAGCTGGAACATCACCACGAGTGAGGCGGTTGTTGAGCTGCTTCTCTCCGCGTTCCCTCGAGCCTTAAACAAGTCGCTCCAAAAACGTCCCGAACTCTTTGCGAGGGCCGAGCCTGAACATCCTCGCGATACTGCGTGGCCAATTCTTGCTCTTTTCCCTCGTAAACCTTGCGCTCCTGCTATGATGTTGTGCAAGAAGCGCTAAAATCAGCCAGTCCCTGCTCCACCAATCCTCCTCCGACAAGGCTCCCCACATCTCCAGCAACTTTGATGGGTCCTCCACTTCTTTCCTGCAGAGAGACTGCCCAGCCCTTCGGGAACAAGCCATCAGCTCTACCTCCTACCCGTCCTACCCCGACACAGGCCTTTTCTCAGAGCAGAAAATCCGCTGTGCAGTTGGCGGCTTGGCTGGGAAGTTGTAGGGCTTCTCGGGCAGTCGTTGAATCTTCATGCCGTTTTTCAGCTTTTTAATCCTGAGCTTGCAGAGCCACAGTGTGTCACTCCTGCCGACGGGCTATATGAGCACAGCTACTCACGAAGTGCAAACTGGCCAGGCTGCGCCATTTTCTTGTTCGGCAAAAAACTCTTCACGGGGACCTTTAGCATCTTCGCCTCCTCGATGTAGTCCTGGCGAAGTCTTGCTGGATGGGCGGATGTCATTCCCCCTTCCCGCCTCCAACAAATCAATATTGTGCTACTGTCCAACTCTTGCAATTGGCCTTCCATTCCTGCTTCTCCA